GGGATGCATAAACCATCGATCGTAGACAACCACACGGTATGGGACAATCAACACCTACACATTCATAAATCATCACACACAGAAGGAGACAAACAATCGGTAGGTGGCGGGAACGAATACGGGCGGGGGCTCATTTAACCTCCCCTTCAATTGTCAGTGACGGACCGAAAAAACCACCGCTGCAGACACGCGAAACCACAGCCACGGGCTGAGCAAATCCGGCAGTCAGCGGCGGAAAAATGCGCCATCACTGGCAGACCGGTCCTGCCACCACAGGCCGAGTACGATCGGATGATTTTTCATACAATTGGATGAATATACTGCCTCAGACCCCGAAAAACCACCTATCGTGTTAACAGTGCAACTCTTACACTGGACTAGAAAACAGATAATAATGTAATACTTAAGACCATGTGTAACATAATGCTCCGCAGATAGCGCGGCTGTACTTTATCCTGGCATCTTCAAAAAAACAAAAAAAAAAACAATTAGTATCGATCTTGCGAAAGCAGACGATACAAAATCATAAAATTAGAAATGTTCAGTCTGATCAGACTTCTCGAGAAGTGGGAAGCGTGACCAGGCACCGGGCTTGTGTCTTTCCCCGATGAGAGGTCGGCGGCTTTCTGCAGTTTGGACATACAAATATTTGCGGCGTTTTGAAATGCAACATGCCAGCGTGTCGACAGTACACTTGCTTGCACGTATTCGGGGAGGTAAAAGTATAGGTGATTTTCGCAGAGCTCTATGTCGCAGAGTTGTTTTTGCGATCGGTGATGTGCCCTAGAGCGGGGAATACCTATGGGGCTTAAGTCCCTTCGGGTGCGTCGCATCTCGTGCATCGCTATCAGTCACTATCAGTCGCCTGATATCATCAAACGCGTCAGCGCGCTCAGTCAGTCGGACACAGCGCGACTCGGCCGCCCGCGGGACCAGCAAGCAGTTCCACCGCCACCATGGAGTGCCACATCTGCCTCGAGGAGTTCAACCAGGTGGAGCGCGTGCCCAAGATAGCGTCGTGCGGGCACACCGTGTGCCTGCGGTGCCTGGAGCAGAGCGACAGGAGGGAGTGCCCGACGTGCCGCAGGGTGAGTCACCTCACGATGTACAATTATAACCGAAACGTCTTCTGTGTGGATCGCTTCGTATCCAAAATTATTTCACGCAGATGATACCTTAAACATGACTAAACATAAAGAATATATGAGTGACTTTAAGGATGTCAGCTAGCATTTACTCGCGGTGAGGACAGAAAACCAAGCACAGACCAGAAAACCATTTTTTTGGCGCTAGGGGAATCAGTGAGTGACTGGCTGAGTGTCTCGCTTCAGGCCCCTACCCGTCCCCTTGTCCCTGCCACCGACGCCGGCCGCTCTGCCCGCGCCTTAGCCCTTCCTTATCTCCTCCTCAACGCCACTTGTACGCCGAATCACAAAATTGCAAGTAACAAGCAACCATAAACAAATGACAGCTAAATATGAGAGATAATTGGAAAACAGACTTATATTCCTAAGTTTGTATCATCTGAGATAGATTCTTGATTTAGATTTTTTATTTCCAGGTCTTCGAAGTCTCGCCGGATGAACTACCTAGTAACTTCCAACTCCTAGAGGTGATGGAGCGTTCAGACAGGTAAGCACCGTACCGTCTCTCCGCGGCTGAAGTGAGTCACCACCACGATGTAGTGAGGAAAAATGTAGGGGGGCTCACTACATCGTGGTCACCACTCTGCTCTTCGACAGGCCCCCCCGCGGCTGGTGCTCGGACTGCCTCGCCTCCGCCGCGCCTCGCTGCTGGGAGGACCACGACGTTCTGCCCGAGAGGAGGGTCTTGCGGCGCCTGCTGCAGGGCGCGCTGCAGCAGGCGCCTGGGCAGCTGAAAGACCTGCAAGACCAATGCCAGGGGGAGCAGGTCGTTCAGGCCCTCACCCTGCTGACTGCAGAGTCCTGCAGCTTGACCCTCAAGGCCGGCAGCCACGAGCTGACGGGCAACGTGGGGAACACGGAGGACCCCCTCACCCAGGTCATGTGGCTGCTGGTGGCCGCAAAGGCCGGCCTCACCAAGGTATGCATCTAGCCAAGTAGTACCTGGAATATCCAAGTACTGTAGGTACAATTTCCAGTACATGTTTGCGTAACGAAGAATAAGTCCTTTGTACTCGGGCTCCCTTGCTTATTCATTGTTATATGAGGATACGGACGAATTTAAATCAATAAGACCACACTAGAAAAAATTGTATTGCAAACATAATATTTCATATGCCAACCATTTTAAAGATCTGTCAAGACTTCCCATTTCACGTTTAACTGAGGAGAGTTCTGAGGAGGAGGGAGGGCGGCCCAAGCCCTGGGAAGTTGACTCTGGCATTATACCGGGTGGCTCATTATTATTGGCTTATTTGCTGCAGATTGTACATAGAAATAGCACCTAGCATCATCATTGCTGCACCGCACGCACGAGTTCACACGTGTCCACGGCAGGCGCGGTATAGGGGAGGGGGGGGGGGGCGATCGCTGTGGCGATCGTCTCTAGTGAGCCGCCTGAAAGGTAGGCAATTTGTCCTACAAACCCCTGCATGTAGGCAACCCACAGTACATCGCCCCCCCTGTCGCCCCCCTCTTATACCGCGCCTTATGAGCTCATCGAGTAGGCAACCCGCCCGCTCGTGCGTGTGGTAGTATGGTACAGCGTGACTACAGAGGTGAGCGGGGTTAATCAGGTACCCGCGGAACAATAAAATCAACAGCGAGGAATCTGGCAAGCCAAGCTGATGCACCCTCTTAGAGAATCTGGGGCCCGCCCCTCGCCCAGAGGACCTCTTTTTAAACTAATTCTTTGTATGTAATTCCGTCGCCCCCGGGTGGATGAAGTATATACAGCCCTCCGCTACTGTTTTCTATACCCCTTTTCATTAACCTAAAGGATGATGTACCTCTTACAGAGCTTTACTTTCTGCTGTTACAGAGCCGGGTTGAAGCGCCGGGTCCCCCGCCTGCCGCCGCGAGCCCTCCGCCCGCAGCCCCGGGCCCAGCACCTCCAGAGGCGCGGCCGGTGCGGGAGATGAATGTGCTTGCTGTCAGCCAGACCAAACCCAATGAGCGGCAGCAGGAGAAGGCGGCCCTCCTCGCAGCAGCGCCGGGGGTGAGTGTGCGGCCGGACCGGACCAAGGCGACCAGCCTGCGGGCGGCACGGGCCGAGGAGCGGCGGAGCTCAGCGGCAGCCAGCCCGCCGACAGCCCCTGAGAGTGACTCTGCTCTGCCGCAGGTGAGCCGGCTGGTCGGTGTGTACTGCCACAGGGACCCCGCCTGGAGCCTCCAGCTGCTGCAGCGCGCCGCGCCCACGCTGGAGCGGCTGAGTGTGCTCTACCCCCGCGAGGCCCACCTGCGCGCGGTGCACGCCATGCCGCGGCTGAGGAGGCTGAGCGTGCGTGGTGATGCCGCCCTGGACGCCCAGCCCCCCGAGCTGCCCGCGCTGCCGCCGGGACACGCCGGCCTGCAGTGGCTCGGGGTGTGTCTCCTCCCCCGCGCCACGACACTGTCCCTGCTGCGGGCGCACGGCGGCACGCTGGGGGAGCTGGAGCTGGTGGTGGGCACGGCGGGGAGTTATGGGTGGCCATACAGCTGCGGCGACCTGCACTCGCTGCTGCAGCAGAGCGGGCTGCGGGCGCTCAGGAGGCTCGTGCTGCGGAGGTGGGCCTACGCCTACAGCCACGAGCCAGCCGCCTGCAGGGAGCAGCGCGCCGAGGTGCGGCGGGTGCTGCCCGGGGCTGAGGTGCTGTGCGACAAGTGTGACCGTCATGCGGGGACGGAAGAGGCCTAGGGGGGCGCGGCGAAGGCGGCCGG